ATCCTAAATCTATTTAGAATTTTTTTATTTCTTGACTCAAGCCAATTAATCACTTGGTTTAGCTTCAAACTCTATTAAATCACCAAAGAGGTATCCCAAAACTACTTAAAGGCCTATGCAAAATCTTTTAGAAGGTGCACATATCTTAAGTATTTAACATCTATTGCAAGTTTTCACCTTATGAAATAAGTGGTTAATATATCTATTATGTGGCCAATTTATTGGCTAAGTTTTTAATCTATTCATCACCTACAGATACTTGTATAATCAAATTATCATCTATAAAGCATCTAAAAACCTTTTTACCAAGACATTATTAAATTAATTTATTATTATGTACCTCTTTATAAGTCCTCTTATTTTCTTAATTACCAATATAAATATTGATTTTTTTAACATAGAATATACTTAAGATAATTGATATTGAATACTTTTACATGTCTATTGTATTTTTATGGCATAGCTTCTTTAAATAAAAAGAATGATAATAGAAATAAATGAACAAATGAAGAGTTAATGCTAATAATCAATTAAGTAAATTTACTACCACAAGAAAGATTAAGATTAGTTGGAATTAAAGATGTAGAGATCATTTGAGCTATTTCAACATGTGTACCAAATTATATTACTTCTCACATAGTAAAACATTATTCAAGTATTACTACAAGTACTAAAAAATCAAGAATTGTCTTGTTTAAGAAGTTTAATAATATATTATCAAAATTTTAAAGATTTATTAATAAATTATAACTAATGATTGAACTTAAATCTCAAAGTTATCAAACTTCCAAATTATAAGACAAATTTATTAAAACATTACTTCTAGGTTTTGATTTAATATAATTTTTTTTTTTAAAAAATATAATTTAATATTAAATAATTTTAGAATATATTTAGTAGATCATATATATATCTATATATATATATTTATTTATTTATAAATCTACATGAAATTTATATTACAACCATTAAGCCTTACATTTTGTATCAAAGAAATTATTGAATATTATTATATATCTTATAATTTTAACAACTTGCAATTGATATTAAATAGGATGATGTTGCACTCATCAATCAATTTTTCTATAGATTTAAATTTGGAATAAATAAATTAACATTAAATTTTCTTAATTCTTTAATATTAAGTTGAACAATTGATTTTGTAATAAAGTCTAATAAATGGCTTTTTAAAATTTTAACTTGAGAATTGTACTAATATATTTCAATATCTTTATAATTCACTGACAGTATAAATATCTTTTCAATACATAAAATTTAAAAATAAAAAGATATGAAAATTGATATATTATATTTTGAATCTCTCATCAAATAAGATAAAATCTTGACATTGCCAATAAGGATTATGCTTGCATTGTGGAAAACCTAAGTACACTACTCAATATTATCCAAAAAAAATAACATAATTATAAAATAAAGAGTATGATTATTAAAGAAGAGAATATATTAAAAAATAAGTTTGTCAAGATACAATAGAAGTCATGTCATTGGAATCTTATACAACATCTATAAAGGCCATGTCTTCTTCTTCAAATCTATTCTTTATTTTATAATAGATATTTATTTAAGACCTAAAAATCACAAAGCATTTGTTTTATTAGATTTAAGTGTTTTAATTTGTTTTTTTGATAAAGATTTTGTTAAAAGATATAGATTACTTTTAATAAAGAAAACTAAGCATGTGCATATAAAATTCATAGTTAGTTGTCTTTTATCTTTTAGTCATATTAAACATAAATTTTTTCTTATAGATGTTACAAAAAATAGTTATAATAATTTAAAAGAATTTAATATTATTTTATTTTTATCTAATTTAAGTATTTTATATTTATTGATACTAAAATAATAATCCTTAGATACATTGAATTTCTTGTAATTTTTATTTTTTTCTTAGTATAATCAAAAAAATTATTAATCAAAAGGTGGTTTATAAGCCAAGTAAAACCAAATCTTTATTTGTAGGAAAAAAAGTTTTTATACAATTTACAAAAGAAAGAACTTTATTGTTATGTATACTACACTTATGGAAAGACTTCAAGCCACATTTTAATTTAATATGAGGATTATAAAGACATATTTAAAAAATAATACAAATATTATATTGAAGCAATATTCTTATGATTAGTCAATTGAACTTAAAAGAGAGGTTCAACTAACATTTGGATCAATCTATGATTTATTACAAAATAATTTGGCTTTACTCAAGGAATGTATTAACAAGAACTTAGCCAAATATTTCATATGCTACTGAAAATGTCCAATATGAGATCTTATTTTTTTTACGAAGAAAAATAACAAATCATTAGGAATGTATGTAGATTATTGAGAACTTAATAAGAAAACCATTAAGAATAGATATGCTTAACCTATGATGTTAGGATCTCTTGATCATTTAAATTAAGTCATAATCTATATCAAAATAGATCAATAAGAAACACAAAAACTTATAAATTTTTAAAACTGAATAAAAGACTATGTTCAAATAAGGTATAGATATTTTGAATATAATATTATATTTTTTTTTACTTATAAATATTCTAATTTCTTTTTAACATCTAATAAATAATATTTTTTTTAAAATAAGATAATTTTTTTGTTTATTATCTAGATGATATTTTAATCTATTCTAAAAATACAAAAATTTATAAATATCATATTTGTTATATGTCACAAAAACTTGAAGGTGCATAATTATATACTAAAATAAAAAGTATATAATTCATATAACTTGAAATGATTTTTTAAGATATACTATTTTAAATATTGGCTTAATAATAGATCCTAAGAAATTTCAAACTATCATGGTGTACAAAGTTTTAAAAAGAATAAGAGATATTTAATGCTTTTTTAGGAATTTATCAATTATTATTAGATTTTTATAAAGATTGTTTTTAAAGTTACTAATAATAATAAAAATAATAATAAAAACAACACAGTTTCAGTTTGGTATTGTGAAACAAAATAAATAGAATGATAAAAAAGAAGAGTTGTTGGATACAATGGGTTTATAGAGTTTTGTATAAGTAGTCAATTGGAAGAAGAAGATACAAAAGACTTCAATAAAGGAAGCATTTTTTAACATAAAAGAAGATAATTGTAGTAGTATAATAAAAAAAAATATTACAATTTTATCCTTTTGAATCACAATCCACTCTATGAAATAACTTTTCATTTCCAAGAAGTATATAGTACAATTGTATATGTTAAGAAATTTTTTATTCTTTATCTTTTGTAAAAAAAAGAATGATAAGGCTATCAACCTAAATATTTCTATTTACAATTTGGAAATAGCTAGACATATTATTTGATTTCTATGTACTACTCTATATTTCCAAAGAAGAACTACACATACTTATACACCGTTAATTTAGTAGATGTAAAGAGCTTCAAATGGCAAGTAAGTGAATTCACCTTTCATCTCAAAGGATAATTTAAAATTAAAATTATAAAGAATTCAAGTAAAGCAAAAGAAGATTCATTGAAGTATTATTCAAATTATTGTAGCAACATACTTCAATTGTCAATATCAAAAATATAAAAGTATAGATAATATAAATACTTCAAAGATAGTCAATTATGGAAAAAAAAAAAAAAAAAACTCAATACATGATTTAAAGAGAAAGAATATAACATCTACATCAATTTCTACTATTGCTACTATAATAATAAATAAGATAGATAAATGTGATGCAAACATTGTCCAACATTATAAAACAAAAAAATAGAGTTCAACAACAAAGTTGATTATATAATAGATCTTTCAATATAGAAAGAAGTTTTAACTATTCTATTTTTAAAATATAAGATATATTAGTAGGATAGGATAATATTTTTAATAAATTAAATAAAAGAAAAAATATTGATAAAATTACTATTTTGGACATGACAAATACCTAAAAAATAAGAAAGATAATATTTGGCATAGTTATCACAACAATACATTTAAAAGAGGATCAAAAGACATCAACATTGAATCAAATACAGAAGACTTCACCAAAGAATAATGAATTAAAAGATATTACATGTG